ACATATATATATATATATATACATATATATATACATATATATATACATATATTTACTTGTATACATATACTTGTATACATTTACCGGTATACATTTACCGGTATACATTTACCGGTATACATTTACCGGTATACATTTACCGGTATACATTTACTTCTATACATTTACTTCTATACATTTACTTCTATACATTTACTTCTATACATTTACTTCTATACATTTACTTCTATACATTTACTTCTATACATTTACTTCTATACATTTACTTCTATACATTTACTTCTATACATTTACTTCTATACATTTACTTCTATACATTTACTTCTATACATTTACTTCTATACATTTACTTCTATACATTTACTTCTATACATTTACTTCTATACATTTATTTATATATATTTATTTATAACGGGGGGGGGGGCGCTAAAATGAAGGTTCGTCGCAGGTGCTGGGATTTGTCGCTACCCTGCTTCCCCACTTGCGTACTCCACTTTTGCACATATATTTTAATAGCATTCTTTTAAAAAAAAAACTTTAGCTGGTCCATACATACTTTTTAGCGCAATTTCCATACGGACAATTGCGATTATTAACTCGTCATTTCTGGATGTAAGGATGTGTGTCCGCAGCCTTTAAGTCGTATCTCCTCCTCAACGAAGTAATATCGAGGACTAGTTCCAAAAGCAAATATGTTAAGCAAGTTCCAAAGATGATTGTGGGACAAAAAAATTCCCGGAATTCCTTCCCGGATTTCCCGGAAAAGCCAAAAAAACCTCGAACAACTGCAGTTTTTGCACCATATCTCGGCAACCAGACCACTTAGCGACTTGAAACATTTACCAGTCGATTCCTGCCATAATTTAGACCAATATTGCCGAAGAAAGTTTTCAAAAATATCCTTTCGTTCGGTCACAAAAAAAATAATTAAGAACATTTAAACTGAGCATCGTGTAGGCCTAGGATGATATTTACTACTTTTAAAACTGAATATCGTAAGGCCTCCGTTGATATAGGTTAATATAGTTGTCTTTTTTTAGCGCAATTTCCATACTGGTTTCTATTTTGTTTTGAATTATTAAAACAACTTGTGTTGCATTATTTATTTGCTGAATATATTATTTATCTCGATTTAAAATTGTTATGGATAACACAAGGAAATAGCGCTTAAATTGTCATTAGACTTTTTATTAACTTATTTTATAACTCTGAAATATCTTAACAAGATGTATGCAATTTTAGAGATAAACGCTTAAATTATGTTTTTCAGTTTTGTACGAGAAGGACCTTATCCAGATATTAGCAGGTAGTCTTGTATCCTTATTTTTTAAAAAATAATTTGCAGTTAGAACTGTTTGCTTATTTTGATGTTTTAAAAGTCAGACGACAGAGTTACTGAAGCTTACATTGTATACATTAATTATTTTCAAAACGTCATTTACATTGCCTAGACTAGGTGTTATATATTTTAAGTTTAGGGCTCTTCCATAAATCATTAAATGATGTCGCGCTTTTTATTTAACTGTTAGCACTATGCCCAGACCTTTAATTTCCCTGGTATATTTCATTGTAGCCTATATGATGGACTTAATTAAATAGATGTCATCTCTCACAACGCAATATAAAAGTTAGATTGTAATAGTACCAGCTCTCCTGCTCTGTTAGCGAAGAGGATGTTGAAAAATGACAAGATATACACTGACTAAAATCTTAGCAAAATGTATAGGGTTTATTAATAAGAGAATTTTAAATATCAATATAACAAAATTATGCACATTTTGAATCAACAATCGATTATATAATATCAGTAACAAGTTATACTTAGCCGACCATATCTACATAATATTTCTATATTTTAGCAAGATCATTAACCGAAATAAAATTTAAAATCCTCAAAACAAAGTTGTGATCTTTAAGCTTATTCGTTCTCCCATGGAGAATTAAAATTTTCCTTCATTGAATACAAATGGACGAAATTGATATTTCTTTTTCGTATGTAATGGGAATTCCCTTTACATCGAGGTCTTCCTCTTTTATCCAATGTACACTCTCATCATTAATTTCATTGAAGAAATCTATCTGTTATTAAGCTTACATACGAACTTCTAGGCTTTGACACTTTGAACAACATTTACCATCCATGCATTTATCAATCTTGAGTCAAATACTGGTTAGTTCTCATATGAATATCGTGCCAACCAGAGTTTCTTCCAGGCATCTCTTCGGGGGGGCGAAGCCCCCCCGAAAATTTTTTACCGCCCCCCCGAACGAAATGAAATTTATATAATTTATATAGAAAATATATACTTTTAACAGTGTCCGCCCCCCCCGAAGAAAGTTTACCGCCCCCCCGAAAATTTCAAGTGCCCCCCCGGAGAAAAAAGTCTGGAAGAAACACTGGTGCCAACTCTCATCTTTTGAGAGCAGAGATTTCAAGTTCAGACTGTTCAGAGTCGATATCAACTGCCAATTTAGGAAATGTATCCACTGTCAAGTGTGACCATATTTCTGCCCAAGTGTTTCCGGCAAATTGTAACTTCTTCTTCTCCAAAACATTGTCTATTGTGACTCCTCTTTCATCCAAATGACTGCTGTTATGGTCATGGGGTAAAATTAATTCTGCGAGCGCATTGTTAAGTGGCGCTATTTTTCCTTTCAATCCTATTAAACGCACTTCTTCCCGGTGCGTTGGTAGCAATTGCAAACCATCATAGTTGTGATTGAGAACGTGGTTTACCGTAAGTTTAATGACCTTTTGGTACCTAGGGTTTTCGTCTGGGCCACCATCAACCGTCAATACTAACATTGGTTTAACAATTCGATCCATGCCACTCTTTATGATTTCATCAAATTCATGTAAAGTAATTTTTCAAAATCAAGACCATGACTGAGTGCTGTGGATGGAAAATGTTTACCAGATCTGATTGATATGTATGTTGGGCCGGAGTATCCAACAGCTTCTCGATTTCCCATGGCGTTGGGCTGAATTTTTATCCCGGCATAAACTGAAGTGATCAGCTAATGTCCAGTAGCCACAACCCAGTCAAGGTCAGGCAAGCTACCCTGTATTCCATGTGCATGAGAAATGGACTCTGTTTTTTAGCTGCTGTCAACCCAAGCGGAACGCTGGCCTTCTCATCTTGACATATAAACTTATTATAATTATAAAGCATTCGGTCCATGCATGGACGCTAACTCTTTTAGGTGATGCATTGAAGCCGTTGAAAACAAGCGATCAATGTGATTTGCATGGAACTCGTTTTGCGCTCTCATCAGTTTTACTGGGACTGTCGATACATGTCGCTGACCTTCAAGAGAAGAAGTACGTTTCGGCAACAGTCGAAGGTACAGCCCTCTTCTACTAATTATAAACCCATCCTGTTTCGACTGATCTAATGTTTCGATAGTCCTGTAGACTTCGTTTTGCCTCCTCTCGTGTGATGCTGATCCATGCATACAATGCATAGCAATGTTTATAATAGTTTCCAATTAAGAAGATTAATCATTAATTTTCTTCAGTCCTTGGCCTGCCAGGATTATATCTAACATTCAGAATGGCGCGTATCCCCGGATTCTCTTCAAACAAAGCATTCAGTTTTCTTTCTTTTTTTTTTTTTTTTGAGCTTTCTGAGATCTTATTTTATTAGATATCTTTAAGCATTTTTTCAAAATCTCTCTTTCTCTTTTCCTCCTTGGTCCGTTCATGCGTTAAAATTCCTCCAGTTTATCGCTCATACAAGCCGACTAGATCGGAATTCAGAATCTCGATATCTGATTTTAAGTTTATCTGGACTGTAGCGTGCTTAGATGCTGATAGTTTGCTAATAAATGGTTTGAAATCACTGACGTCATGAGTATCGATCACTTTTTCATCTGACTTCTGTGACTTATTTGGTATTTCTTTTGCCAAATCATAGGATTTCCTCATTTGTAGGTTAGTTACAGATGAATATACCCCAAAACGTCATAAAGTGAGCATTTTTTAGTGACAGCAATTGCTTTTAACTCCTGCAGCCAGACTTCCGCTTTTAGGTGCATCACTTTTTAGTTTACTCCATTTTTCAACTCCTTTTTGGCAATCTTTTTACCCTTTTTATGATATGCCAGCACGTAGGCTTTAAAGTACACTGGAACTGAACATTTTATTCCTATCTATAATTAACAGTCTATTTTTCAAGCAGAATATATGAGATTATTATCAGATCTATAATCTACCTCTAGTTGACATGCTTCCGAGCTTCAGTCAAATCGCACTATTGGCAAATACGGCAGTCTACTACACAACACGCATCGTCAAGTTTTAGGACAATTCAATTACTATTAGAACAGCGATATATTTCACAATCTTTCGACAATTTAAACAAAAGCATACATTTTGTTAGAAGTATCGTAAACTATGTAAACAATTATTTAGTAAGTTTATTTTTCTAAAACTAAAAAAAAATGCATGTTAATCAATTCGTGGGATGAAGACAACGTGACGTCACACTGTCTCTACCTCCACCTTCTACTCGTCACAAAAATCTGACCCCCCCCCCCCCCCCCCCAGGCATGTGATGTCTTTTATGGACGACCCCATAGCAGTACATTTTTTTACAGCTACACCAAAAAGTTAAGGATAAAACTTACTGCCTAACAACTGCCTAAGCATCACACTCAAAATTAACTTTCAAATAACATTTTAAAACTATTTGCAGACATAATATTATCATTGACATACCGGTGCCTCCTGATACATTTTCACAACTTCCTCAAGAACTCCAGCTAGGAAAACAGATAACAGTCACTCCAGTTGCTTTCAATATTGGCATTAATGAGCAGGCTACTCTTGCCGAAAAGTAAGCTGATAATATAGATACTCGTTTATTAAAACTAAAGTTAAATATTGACTAAAATGAAAGTATTATTGATTATTTCGTAACTCTATACGGAAAAGGCATGTGCTGGTGATCTTTAATTTTTGTTTTGAAAGATTTGCAAATTAATTTATTTTCTCCTTCAAAACTATAATAACTCTACTCAGAGGCGTAGCGACCATTCCTGGCGCCCGGGGACAAACTTTCAATTTGGCGCCCCCTCAGAGCAAATTTTCGATTTGCACCCCCAGTCCACCCCCAAACTTTTTATTTGCACCCCCCCCCCCCTCTCAAACTGTTTATAAGGCAAAAATGCAGCTAAAATGAAATTTTAATTTATTTTTCAACCCATTTTGGCGCCCCCTAAGGTCGGCGTCCGGGGACATATGTACCCCCTGCCCCCCCCCCTCCCCCCATCACTACGCCTCTGACTCTACTAGTTATTTACATGTTCTGTTTTGTCCACCACCACTCATCGTAGCCACAGGCTATTTTTAGTATTCCATAAAAATTCATACATATAGACTACTACTAGAGGTCGGCGTGGTCGAGTCGGTAAAGCTCATGGTCGCTAAACTGAAAAGTCTCGAGTTCGAACCCTCGGGCAGATGAGGCTCGTTAGCTGGGGACAGCCACTCTTCTAGGAGAGACAACTCCAAAATTAAACAACTGCTGCCTTGTAGTTTGTTCTTGGTTGGACAAAGGCTATGGAAGCAAATCCAAAAAGAAAAGCAGGCTGAAATCGGAGTCAATGGCCTCAATGGCGCAAAACCAGTTGACACGTAACTCTTAATTGTGTTGGAGGCGTGGTCGAGTCGGCAAAAAGCTCATGGTTGATACATTCGAACAGTCTCGAGTTCAAACCCACTGGCAGATAAATCTCGATCCCCTTCAACACAAATAATTAAGAACGAAGAAGAAGAAGACTACTAACTACTAGTGATGTTCATTTATTAGCTGTAAGTTTTAATTCTGTATAAAGACATTTCATAATTTTTTAAACAATAAATTCATTACGATCGGCAGCGAAAATGTACCTATTTTCACTACTTTTATAAAAACGTGTGATAACAACATAATATCCTTAATAAAAATAATAATAGATAGTTTGGGAGGCTTGTGGGAAGTGGATACCGTGGTTAAAAGGTAGAGCCGTCGACGATTCACCTGAAAGTCGAGTTTGTTTCCCGGGCTTGACTTGGTCCTGAGCTCTAATGGCTACTGACATCAAGAGCTGTAATTGCGGTTGGAAATAGTGCTGAACACACTTTCCCTTCACATGCCGAAGTCATTGACGCAGGTGAACTTTGCCCCATGCACTGTACGGTTCAAAAGTGAGGGTTGTTGGAAAATTCAAATTGAGTTGACAATTTTGGCTTTTTTACTTTCTCGAATAGACGAAGTATAGAGAAAGTCTTGTAATCGTGCAAAAAAAATCTCGACGTTTTACACCTCACTGATACGGAAAAACATAATTTTGCAATCTTGTCTGTATGCCTGTGTGTCTGTCTGTGTGTGTGTAAACACGATAACTTGAGTACCGTTACAGCTAGGTTGATGAAATTTTATATATAAGTATTTTATCAAAATCGTAGATCCGTAGCAACTTTTGAGCGCACTATTATACAACATCTTTATTCGGCGTTCGCTTGGTGCGCAATTCTTTTTTTATGAGATTCTATTCTATTTTTAAAAGTTTAAGTATTTAAAATGGATTAAAAATCATAACTATATCCCAAGTTACAATCCCCTGTTGTTTTATATAAGAATATTCGAAAAAGTTTAGGGGAGATCACTTCCGGTTTATTTATAATTTTTTTTAATTGCTTTTTTTTTCAGATTTGGTAGCACAGCTCTTCAAGAAAAAATGAATGCAGATTCTTTTGCCAAAGTATATGAATATTATATGTTATACACAAAACATTTTGATGATCCTTGTAAGTTTTTATGTATAAACTAGCCTGTGAGGCCTTGTACTGGCTTTTGATCTAAACTTATCTATAAATAAAAAGTCCGTGATTTGTGTATTTATTAAGCATCATAAAACCGTCGCTACTCAGGTTTTGGGAATATATTAAATTGCTAATTAATTTCAATTTGCAAATAACGAAACGACGTTTTAGAAAAAATATACAACCATTACTCTAAACCTAACTCTAAACATAACCAACAAGAACCTTTGACATAAGCATAAACGTACACCCTTTTTCTTCCCCGCACGTCTATGCCTAAAATAAAATACTTTAAAAAAAACTTTTTAAAAAACCACGTTTTTTCTTGTGGACTAAAAAGTAGAAAATAAATTTTTCTTTTGTGCTTCCTCGAGCTGTGCAGATTCTTGTGATGACTGACAAAAAACGTGGGTACGTTCACCATCAAATTTCCCGACCCATCTGCCCGACCCACGTTTTTTGTCAGTCATCACAAGAATCTGCACAGCTCGAGGAAGCACAAAAGAAAAATTTATTTTCTACTTTTTAGTCCACAAGAAAAAACGTGTTTTTTTTAAAAAAGTTTTTTTTAAAGTATTTTATTTTCTCCTTTTTAGTTCGTTGCTACACATGAAAAACGTGATTTTTTTTTTTAAAAAGTTTTTTATATAGTTTATTTTCTACTTTATCTAATGACTTGATTAACTATGACTTGACTAAGTGTTTATAAATACACGGACTAAAAATCTTGAGCGACCAGGATTCGAACCTGGGTTGTCGCGGCCACAACGCGACGTACTAACCACTATACGATCACGGCCAGCGCGCTCACATCGATTGGGGCCGAAGTAACTGTGTCAATAGGCCTCCAGTCTTTTCCGGTATCTTTAGAAATCATGTCCTCAATTTTATGGTCCTTGGGGCGTAATTAAATTAAGCTAATTACGGTCTCTAATTGCTAGTTTTATGATTGCATCTGAAATTGTTAGGCGAAAGTAGCCTGCATGCCAAATTTCAGATCTCTAGAGCAATCAGAAGTGGGCTAATTTTCGATGTCAATTTTAACAACAAACAAATCCACAAACGCGAAGCTGAGTTAAGAAAAACGTGTTAAAAACAACCACATAAATACAACCACTAACGCTCAGCTCAACCACAAACATAGACAAGCAAAAAATCGTGAGTGTACATTAATAACTCATCGAAATAATGAGGTAGAACACACTACGGTGACCGCCCATGGGTCAGGGACGTAGAGTGGCGCTCTCAGGAGCCCCCCCCCCCCCCCGCACACACACACACCGATTACACTACCGCGTACGGCCCCTGGCTCCCTAAAACTAACAGGCGCCATCGTGCCAAATAGGACCCTGTTAACAATGATGCAGATTGCGTCATTCGCTAACGTGACACAAATGAACAGGAGTTTTTCTTTGACACGTAAATGAGTTAGAACACACTACGGTGACAGCCCATGTGTCAGGGACGTAGAGTGACGCTCTCAGGAATCCCCGTATATAGAGAAAAATCGCACCATCCCGTGGCGCCGCCCTTGCGAAATTGATTTTTTTTTACAGAACACTTGCCCAGAGTGTCCTTATCAACTCCCCCAAAGTCTTATGGCTATCGGATGAACGGTATCAAACAAAAATCGACTTTTGTTTTAATATACCGTATTCAGAAAAAAACAAATCGCGCCCTGTCGGGGCGCCACCCCTGCGAATTTGAAATATTTTTTTTTCGCAGAAACCTCCCCAGGAATATTCTCAACAACTTAAGTTTCACGGCGATGTGATGAGAGGTGTAGTAATGCATAAAGGACAGACAGACAGACACATACATTGCTTTATATATATACTAGCGTACCCGACCCCCGCACGTTGCCGCGGGGATAGAAGAAAGTCTGACGAAATATATTAGAAGGATATCACCAATGCATTACCAATCATATGTTCTTAAACGCGTGTCCTTCTTTTCTAAAACTGTTATTTAAATGTAAACAATGCTTGCGCTTGGATAATAATTATCGGGACACGGGTTTTCCTTGAGTGTACATTAATCACTCATCGAAATAATGAGGTAGAACACACTTCGGTGACCACCCATGTGTCAGGGACGTAGAGGGGGCGCTCTCTCAGGAGCCCCTCACCCCCCGATTACACTACCGCATAGGCGCAGCGTACGGCCCCTGGCTCCTTAAAACTAACAGGCGCCATCGTGCTCATAGGATAACCCAGCGTGCCAATAGCATCCTGTTAATAATGATGCACATTTCGTCATTCGCTAAAGTGACACAAATGAACAA